ACATCTTCCAATAGGTATCAAAACCTTCTTTAGCGCTGTCTGAATTTTTCTGCCTCCATAGATATCCACAAATGTTTTTGTATCTCAAACTCTTTAGCATCATGGCATAGACACACTCTAGGACAGAAGTGACATATGCCTGGCAGTTACTATGATATGCTAATGATGCCTCTAAGTGTAAAACACACCCAAGAAATACCCCTACAAGTATAGGTAGGCAGGAGCTATTTCTAGTGCACAAAGAACTATTAGCTGTGCAATAACCAACAAGAGAGTATACTAAAAGTATTTGGAGCATAGCTGCAATTAAAGTGACATAAACACAATTGACAGGGAGTAGACACTAGTTGAATGTGATGTGGACTGAACAAACAACTCCAAAATTGAAATCTTTAGCTAGGTGATGTTTAATTAGGATTTCATTGGAATGCAAAGGAGAAGGAATGGGTACAAGGCCACACTGGACACTGGCAAAGGATAACAAAATAGATAAGAGTAAAAGAGAGCAAGGTGATAAGGGCTCTAACAAAGGATTGTGATCAAATACAATAACACAAACAAAGGGGCAAAATGTAAATGAGGATCAGAAGGTCAAGACTTCAAAGTCTTATAGATTCAAGCGCACAAATGGAATCTGAATAAGAGGGAGCCAAAGCTGATCTTATTGCAAAGGCCATAGGTGCCCTTTTATAGTAGGTCCAAACAAGTACAATAGGGAGATTGGCAGAGGTGTAGAGTGATTAAAATGTATGCCAAGAGCTGTCAAAGGTAAGAAAGATAAGAGAGTGATGGTAAGAACAATGTAGGATAAGAAGCAATAGCTCTGAAGTCTAAATAAGTGGAGAGATTGCCAAAGTGAGTGTATATAGACCTGGAAATAAAAACTATATGCTACATAGGTGAACCAATTAGAAACTTGAGAGCTTCAAAGATAAAGAAGGAAAAGATCAATAGAAGGCATAAAGACAATAAGAAATAGAAAGACAGATCCATCTCAAGTCAACAAAGTGTTCAGTGGCCTCCAATTTGATATACTGATGCTAATTTGGCATGCTGAAGATATAGAGTGTACCAAACCAATTAGTGATTAGCTGTGACAGTCTGTAAGCAGCCCTAAATGCTAGAAATGCTAATATATCTATAAAATGACTGTAAACTGCTCCAAATATCTGTGTAGAGGTCTAAACACAAAATTGGCACCTGATAAATGACTAAGAGCTCTAAAATGATTAAGGTTAGTTAGACCTAAGTATACCAAACAGTCAAAGAATACTGAAAAGCTTCCAAAAGTGGGGTATTAAATCTGGGAAATGCCTCTCTTTTATTAAGCTCTAATTATTGATAATTTTATGAAGTTTTACTAGAATAGCATTAGTAATTTTTTGCTTACCCCCTCTTTATTTTAGAGCTAATTAAAGCTAATTAGTTAGATAGATTTTTAGAAAAATAGAATCTATTATAGTATTGTCATTTCTTGCTATTACTACAATTTATAACCTATAGATATCTATAGAGGTCACTACTTGAATATCTAAACCTAAAGTCTTATCTTATGAAAAACTTGTCCTTGGCCAGAGTTAAACTTACAATCTTATAATTGTATATACTCCAAATAAATGCTCTAAGCTACTGAGCCATAAGGTCTAAACTGATATCTTGGTAATTCAAATATGTTGACATAATTTAGGCAATCTCAATATTTCTGATCTTATTACTCACTTATTTTTAATCTATTTTTGATCAATAAATATTCAAAAAATCAGGGCTTTTATGATCTTAATTCAAGTACCAAATAAGAATACAATATACTAAATAAAAATAAATAATACACTCTATATAGGATAAAAAAATATTTTGGCACTCACATAATTTGGATTTAGAGTCTGTATTATTGTACTTGAGTTAGAGATTTTGAGTAAACTCTAGAATTGTAATCAATAAGGTGTTTATTACAGATTTGATAAATGATTATAGATAATTATTCATAATACATTCTAATTATCTTAGATAAGTATTATCAATAATTAGGTATAATTTGGGTCTAATACAAGAGAGGAGGGGTTTCTAAATGTTAGTGCCTAGAGTAGACCCATGCTCATAAATAATGCATAGTAGCCATAAAGATTAACTAGCATTTCTTACACTAATACGATTATATCTCACTTTATCTAAGCTTATACTGGTAGAAGTTGTTCCTAGATTGGGGGTCATAATAGTCATAGCTACAAGTTGTTTCATATACTCTTTGGGATTGTGTATAGTACTAGTTATTACTACTAGCCACCCTTTAGTAAAGTGCCTACCATTGTTATAGCTAGCAGTCTCAATGGGATTCCTAGATATCCTAACCACACTACTATTGTCAATATTGGCACTTGTCTTAGTAGCCATATTGGTAATTGTCTTAGTAGCCATATTGGTAATTGTCTTAGTAATTGTCTCAGTGGCTGCATTAGTAATTGTATTAACACTGGTCTTGGTAGTTATATTGGCACTAGTATTGGTAGTTATGTTGGCACTAGTCTCTAGTGCCATATTAAATGGCCTATCAATAATGTTTTTAGGAATGTTCTTTATGAAAGCAACTATGCTCCCATAGGCACCCTGCCTCTAAATAAGTTAATCTGTCTCTTATTATAATTAAACACACCTTACAAAGAGTGTCAAGTTATGTATACCACTCATGTTCATAGCTGACTACACAATTGGCATTATTGGCATGCTTATAAGAACATCTATATTACAGATAGCTATTATGTTTGCCAGTGCATTCCTATTGTCTATAGTTAACACTTTATTGTTAACATGACCATGTGGTATCTATGATAATAACAATGCTGAGATGATATTATCCCTAGTATATAGAAAAGACTATGAGATAAAAGCTATCGACAATAAGAGTATTAAGACCTAGTCTTTGTATATAATATGCCAGAAGGCTCCTGAGTCACTGAGGGAATATGCCAAATCCAAGTGTGTCTGATATAGATGCTAGTGGCTACTTTAATGCATAGCATGGGGCAGATAAGAGATTCATAATAATATCATGGTTCCAAGTAGTCACAAAGATTGTTTTACAAGTATAGAGGTACAATCTAGTAAGGGTCCAGATAATAGTAGATATGCTACCCACCAGAGTCTAGATAGAATACTACTAGTCCTATATAAAACATAGCTAGTATTAATATATTGACTAAGCAGTTAACAATGATAATAGAGAGAATCACAAGTATAGGTTAAACTAATGTTATGACCACAGTTCTATTGATAATCAAAAGTCTGGCCTATTGGCAAAGACCTAGATGCTAATAATGTAGGGCTAGTACCAAGGGTCAAGAAAAGAACAGATAGTGGATAACAAAGATGAACAAGCTGGCAAGATAAGTCTCTGGTTTATTCTATATATACTATATTTCAGTTTAGGGCAAGATTAATAGAAAGTCTATGCTTCTAAAGGTAAATGGTTATCTGGCCAATAAAGAGAGAAGTGGATAAGCCCAAATATTGGGGTATCAAATATAGGGTAATCAATGATTGAGATCTATAAGCATGATGATCAAGGAGCAAAAACAAGGGTTTGATTATAATAAGGGAATAAGAATGAGGATATTGCCAAGTCAACCAGTCTAACAATAGATATTAAAGTAATTGTCTATTGGTAAAGTCAAGGGGTTGGTCACCAGGTATTAGTCATCTCCAATAATTCACAGAGCATATGCTATATGATCAAGTAATCATTAGTTATGTGTTATAAGCCAGCTCTTAATAAAGAGACCTTATAGAGGATCTTGTAATACCATAGCAATGACCAAATAAGGAGCACATAATATGGCATGGGCTTATCTTTGTTGTTTTGTTGTGCTGTGTCTTGTAGATGCTAGTATGTTAGAAATGTATGCTTGCCACTAGGTGGGAGATAATAGTAAGAGGTCTATAACCAAAACTATATTACTCTTAATATTATTGACTAGTTATGGCTCTTCTGAGATATTTTGTTAAGCCACTAGGCTTATCATGTGCACTTGATACACTAAAAGGGGTTCTCTTAGCTAATCATGATAGCCCAATAGATAAAAATTATTGCTTGTCTTTAGGCTTGTACTAAGAAGTCTTGATTACCATTGATTTTATCTTCAAAGAGGTAAAGAATATGCTGATTGATGATAAAACAATGTTCATCAGGGACTGGGAGGTCTTCTCTGATCTAACAGATAACTTCTAAGGGATTCCAACAGATAACTCGATAAGCAGCAAGTCCTTGATAAGTTGCAAAAATAAAAGAATGATCAGGGCTGTGAGATAAATCTAGTGCTTTATCAGACTAGGTATATTTCAGATAATCTAACAGAGTTTGCGATGTGTAAGCTGAAGGGAGCTAAATGCTAGGCACAGTGCAGAGATCAAGATGTATACAAAGTGAATGAGCTGATCTTTTTAGGAGCTCAGCTCAGCTTTTTATATGTACAATCTATTTAGGGCTGGATGGAGATCTGGTCTGTGCTTCTAAATGCTAAGTAAGCTGATCAATCACTAAATATTATTCATAGTAAATACTTTAGCTACATATAGTAACTATATCAAATATCTGTTCACATTTGTAATTAATTAGGGACCAATTATAAGAGTCATAAGTGTTCAAGCTAAAACTTGTGAATGAGTAATAAGTACATAAGCATTCATGCATTAGCATATAAATAGGTTTTTAGTCATAGTCCGGATTTGAGACATGAGCATACCACCTAGCTGTTTTCTCTGATCATGTGTGAATTATATGTTAGGATGTGGTCCTAACACATTCCTTTACTTGACTAGAGACAATGGTGCTGGCCTGAGTAGGTAACTCATATTCTTTCTTAACAAACCCTAAATAAATGCTGGGTAGTTGTCCTTGGCAATATGCTTTGCCTTCCAGCGGGCCAAAGAACTATTATAAAAGCACAGTTTAGAGAATTAATAGGCCATTTCCTAGTAATAAAAATCTACTACCTTCAAAGAGATGTATGACCACTTTGCAGGTGCTAGACTATGTAGTAAAAGCTCATACTATACTTGGTAAGTGCTCTCTTGAATGTCAAATGCATAATACACATTAATGACTTCACTGTGATTATTCTAGATCTACTTCATGGTTATGTTAATTCCTAAGTATGTGTTGATTTTCCCCTTCTTCTTTTGAACTTGATTAGGGTTAGCAATATTGTCATCCTTCAAAATTATGCTCCAATCTTGTATGGTCCAGATAGTGACACATGGCACATCTATGTATAGGACCAGTAGCAATAGTGGTTGAATGTAAAGTAGGTCATTTGGCACCACATTGCCAGAGGCTTGCACTCAATTTGCATAAAGCCTAGTTCTAGCACAGCAAAGTCACTTGTTAAAGTTGTATTGCTTATGACAAGGACATTAGGGATTACAAAGAGAATGTCTTTTAGTACATGACTGTATAAATTGTGAGTGGAACAAACAAGTATGGTAAAATATGGTAAAATATCACAACTTGTCAGGGTACATTGACTTTTGTGTAGAGGGCCACAATATTAGCATCTAAACTAGTAAGTCCTTAAGGAAATGTATTAGGTATATGGCTGCTATACAGGTTAGATTAAGGTATAAGTATCATAGATCTATGGTAATGGATCATGCCTAATGTTCCAAAATTATGTAGACCCTGTAAAAAGAATATCATGGTGTACTTGAGGTGTATTTAAAGACTTCTCTGCCCAAACCAGCCATTATCATATGCATATTTGCTAGTACCTATGGCATTGTGAGCCTGCTTCTTGATATGCTCTGAATAATGCTAGCTTGGCTCTTAAAGGATGAGTCAAGAGGGGTTTCTCCTCAACTACTATTAAAATCATGGAAGAAGTTAAGGGAAGTAGGGTTGGGTGTGTCTGTATGACAGTCTTGCATACCAAATAAAGAACCCACAGGATAAGGGTGGCCTAGGGTTTGTGATAATGGAAAATCTGACTTTTTTATAGATTTCCTTATAGCCAAGGGAAACAATATGACAGAGTGGTGCACTATGTTGGTGACAGCAGAACTAGAGATGGTATTGCTCAAGGTCATGATTGAAAAGACAAGTTAGTGCCACACATGCCAAATAAATTTTGGATAGGTGACTTCAGATAGTACTATCTAGCATATTTGGGGAATAATAATAATATATAGTATAGATCACACTCACACTTGTGGTCCCTGCCAAGGTCAAGGTTGTATTTGCTATCATTATTATCCTCTACATTAAGGTCATGGTTTCTGTTGTCTGTATAATACATATACAGCCATAGTCAAAGCTGCTAATACATACATAGATGTTTACACAAAAAGCATGCACTAGTGTATAGGCAGTATATGCCTGCACCTGCCTACTATCTATTTGGAAGCTTGATGCCCAGCTGCTACTCACAGCAGCTATTGTGCCACCTGACCTACCTATCCCAGTCTATTCCAGTCCTAGAGCAGTGTTAGCAGTGGTAGTAGTGATGGCTTCTATAAGGCAATCATAAAGCATAGGATGCCCCCCTTATTAACAGCCTTGGTAACCACAACAATGAGCACACACTCATAAGTGCATAAGTGGAGCATACCATTATCCACATACATAGCATTGAATCCATCATTGCTGCAGCTCTTACCATATTATCCATACCCTCACTTACAGACCTCCCTACTACTACCACTATAGTCATAGCCATATCCACATAAACCACAGTACCCATACAAACACCACCCACTAATACAGTTCTATACAAGCCCTACCATATCATAGACACAGTGGCCAATAAATATATATAGCCAAAATCCCTCCAATATTACTATGAGCATGCCTAATAGTATATATCTATAGTAGAATTAGTCCCAGAGACAGTCATTCTATACATTACCATACTTACACACTAACATCCCTAGTTCTGGCTATGGGGGACATATATAGCTATATATGCCACAGCCTAGCATGCATGTGAATACCAATGTATCTTCATCACAGTAGGGCCAGACATAGTGACATGCATATGCCTCTAGCATTAGCACCATTACCTGTGCTCACATATAGATATACTAGCATGCAACCTGCTCCTAGTGCTCTTGTACATATAGCATGTATGGCTGCCACCCACATAGATGCACATACTATCATAGGGCATATAGATATGCTATATGTACTAGGATTATCTCATGATAAACATGCATATTGTGTATGTGCTATGTGAGTATGCAAACTCACCTGAGCTTATAAGATATTTATCTCTAATAGAAGGCTACTGTGACTATATGAGCATATTTATATACTATGATCCATCACACTCCAAGCTGCAGAAGAGCCTGCCAAGTAAGGGCCAGACTCTACAGCTGCTCTATGAATTGGTATATTGCACACTTATTGATTCAATGCTATCAATTACATTGTTCCTTATAGTTTATCACATGTGTGTACTTATAAATGCAAAGAATGGGACAATGGGACTTGTGGTTATTGTCAACAAGTATTTATTCTATATGTGTGCCAACAATTATTATTAGTTTACTCATCAACATTTGTTCATTTTTTTTTTTTTTACCTTTTTCTTACTCCATCTCACTATCCCATATATCTTATTATATCTATCTATCTTATTTTGGTTTCTTTGTCATATTTTAATCCTCATTATAATTATGGTGGCCTTTAGGCCAAGGTAAGATATGTGCATACTTGTATATAATGGAGATATTACAGTTATATCTGTATTTGGTACAAACAGACAGTCCCATACTATCAACTAATAGTAAAATAAAGAGGTGAGGAAGTGAAAAAAAAGCAAGTCACAGGTACATGGTAGTATTGATAACAAAAGAATATAATGATAACTTGGTGAATCCTATATATTGCTTCTTCTTCTCTTAAAATGTCATTAAGCAATTGTGATTTATTGCAAGACACAAGAGACCTCTCAAGCCCTCCTTAAGAATGTTCTGTATCTATGGATGCACAGGATATTATAATAAGGTCAGTCTACAAGTGTTGTGTTTAAACAAGACTTGATTCTTATATACTGTAGGAGTTAGGGAAAGTAAAAAAGGGTGGCATAGATGAAGATAATACCATGTAGTCCAAATCAGATAGTTTAAGCAAGGCTTATCCAAGTGGATTATATGTCAAATACAAGGACTCTAGAAATTCCAAGGGCTTCTATAAGTAGCCATTAGCATCAGCAATGCTATATTAGTTATAGGGGGGCATATTACTTTTTAACTAGATCTACATCTAGAAAACCACCCCCTTGTATTAAGCTCTAATCAGCTATAATTAATGCCCTACTATACTAAATTATAAAAGATTAGGATTAGACATTTTTAGCTTACCCCTCTCCTAAACCTGTTCTAATTAGACATAATTTTCTTAAATTAGGAATTATTAGGATGGATTATAACTTGAAATTTCGGAATAATAATAATAAATCAAGCATCACAGTTCTCATAGCCTTCTTATAGAGTCATGTCTATTAGAGCACTATTTAAATACCTAAACACAGAATATACCTTATAACAAACTTGCCTCTTGCCAGAGTTGAACCAACAACCTCATGTATACAAGCACCTGGGAAAGATGCTCTAAGCCACTAAGCCACAAGGTCTAATATATGAGCTTGGTAATCTAGATAATTAGACATAATATAAGCAACCTCAACATCTCAAATTTTATTCAACATTTATCTTTCCTCTATCTTATAAATAAATAGGTCAATAAATACCTAAAAAGTCAGGTCTTTCAGGATTTAGTTTAAACACCAGCTAAGAAAATGATAAACCAATGGAAAATAAATAATACACTTTATATAGGGTAAAAACAAATTGTGGCACTTGCACAATTTGGATTTAGAATGTGTAAAACTATGATTGAGTATAATATTCAATGGGACTCTACTAGTATAGACAATGCTACCTTAATTTGCAAATTTGATCAAAAACATGATTATAAAGAATTAAGATCCAATAAGAGGGTGGGGTTTTCTAAATAGCCACTAGTGAGGTAGAGGATGGGGACAAGGGTATATTTATGGCATGCCTATATATAAATAAGCACAAGATTATTGGAGGTGATCTTAATATGCTTAGTGCACATATTCATATTTCTTATATGGCAGGCTGTTAAGCCGCTAGACTTATCATGTGTGCTTGTCGTACTAAGAGGGGTTCCCTGGGCCAATTGTGATAGTGATGGCCCAATGTATAAAGATGACCGATTGTCTTTGGGCTTGATTCAGGAATTCTTGATCACTATTGATCTTGTCCTCGAATAAGTGGAGGAGGTGCTGGTTAACTAAATGTCGTTGTTTGTCTGGTACAAACAAGTCTTTTCCAATGCAATAGATGACTTTGGAAGGATCCTAACAGATGACTCAATAGGCAGTGAGTCCTTGATATGTTGCAGGTGGTAGAGGATGGTAAGAGCTTTGAGATGAGTCCAGTGCTTCATTAGACTAAGTATGGTTCTATGGATCTGGCAGAGTTCACAAAGCGTGGGCTAAGGGGGCCAGATGCTGGGTGCAGTGCAGAGATCGAGATGTAGACAAAGTGAATAAGCTGATCTTCTAAGAAGCTCAGCTCCCCTATATATAGTACATGCCATTCAGGGCCAGGGTGGACATAAGGCCCATGCTAAGTAATCCGCAGTCGTCAAACCAGACTCCATGGCTCCTCAATGTAACCATGTATAGTGAATATATCAAATGTCCATCTGCAGGAAGGTTCCAATGGAACTTGATCACGATCAATATCAGTAACCATAACAAAGAGGAGATCATAGTAACGTAAACATTCATGTGCCAGCATGTAAATAGTAATCAGTCAGAGTCCAAGTCATGTGCGTAGCTCATGACCATGTCCTGAGTCATGTGCCTAGATGCATGTCAAGTCATAGTCCTAGTTATTAATGTCTAGTCAAATGTGAAACACCTGACCTTTCCTTTTGTCCACGTGCCAAGCACGTGTTAGGACATGGTCCTAACACAGGCAAATATATCATTCTGGTACCATATACCAACATAACTGTCTTTTCCACAGCCTAATAGCTAGAGGAAAACACCAAGTTTGAGCATCTTCTGTATAACAAGGCAATGAATAATATAAATAGGGCTAAAAATTGTAGTATCAATAGTGATAATGATTGTGTGCTGCATAAGACAGTATTAGCCACTATACTAATAGACAAGGTCTATAAGGCTGCATATAGCATGTCCCTAAGCCCAACCCATATGTTGTGTCCTATAATGACCAGTAGCAGGCATTGGCTAACAATAACAACTTTGACAATTTTGTGTGCAAGGCCAAGGTACCTAGGTCTTCATAGCCTCTTGTGGCAGCTGCTAAGCTGCCAACAAAGTGGCTGGGGGCATCAATGCACATTTCTCTCTTTCTATGTCCCTTTTAAAGGCAGCTGGAAAGTTAGCAAAAAAGCTATAAGATAATGGTGTAGGCATATATAAAGGAGAGTAATGTGCTAAAATAGTATAGAATGTGCCCCATCTTTACCTTCTCACTGATAGAGCAGTAGTACTTACTATTTCCTACTGATAATTAAAGACTTTTTAGTATAGAATTAGTGCTAATATCATGAAATTAGAAACCAATCCAATGCTCACAATGTGTTGCTCCTAATTAGGAAATTAGACACTTTTAGATGCTATTAACACTTTTAGATACTTTTAGACAATATTAGATATAATCCAGAGCTAATACAAGGGGGTGGTTTTCCAGATGTACATGAACAACCACTTTTATCTAACCAATATACAGGCTGCTCAGAACTATAAACTATTTGGGCCTATATGAATATACTTGAGTGAAAATATGCACAAGCAACTTATGAGCTACTAAAGATAAAGAAGTCAATGACTAGGCTTGAGAAGGACCTATGCCAAGTCCTAGTGTCAGCACACAATCCCTTTCTCACTTGTGACTCTATTGTAGCAGGCTTCTCAGGCTTAAAACAGGGATGTATAGAGCTGTAGCATCGATTAAAGCAGACATAGCTTAGTGAATGCATTTGTAGACTACTACTCCTTAGTAATCTTAATGATTCCATTTATATACATAATGTCAAGACTA